TTTAAATTAAACTACTATTTCACAATTGCCACGATTTTCAATTTACTATAGTAAAAGGTTTTATTATACCTATTAACTCAAAATTAAAAATACTGCATTACTACACAGAAAGTTGAAAGGTAAGAGCACTTTGCATCTCAAATCTTGAAATATTATAAATTAAATTTTTTGCTGCTAGAAACAGCATTTTTACTAATAACTTACATAATTCATAAAAGTAAGACCAGCAATATAAAGAAATCCTCCAGGGAAAAGTAGTCACTGATGCCAACTTAATGATATGGTTGATATACTTCCCAAGAATCATTAATCAGGAAACAAAGTCCTGAAATGTGTCAGATTCTCAAACTTACCAGAAACTGTTTGAAAGTTTGACAATGAGTCAAATCTCTCAATGAGGTAAAAGCTCTTCCGGTCTCAATAAACAAATGGATAGGAAAATAATCAGATCAAGACTGAATGACAACATCATAACAAAATCACACCTATCCGCAATCATTAGGCCCATACCAATATTTTTCAGCAAGGGCAGCCGAGTAGTGAGAAAAATTAGAACAAGGTCACCTACTACAAATGATCATTTAGGTATGCTGCAAATAAATGAAATATCCTATCACTGTCACTCTCATATAAAACAATCAGAAACTTTTTGCACATCATCTCAGGCATTGACACTCTTACAGCAGGATTATCTGGCTATTTGGACTCTCTCCTCAGACTCTATGCTACCAGCACTCTTAGCTATCTTTGAGACACCACCGACTTCCTGAGGAAACTACAGTACATTGGTGATCTTCCTGAAAACAACATCCTGGCCACCATGGATGTAGAAGTTCTTTACACCAATATTCCATATGAAGATGGACTACAAGCTGTCAGGAACAGTATCTTTGATGAGGCCACGGCACACCTGGCGGCTGAGCTTTGTGACTTTGTCCTCACTCACAACCATTTCAGATTTGGGGACAACTTATACCTTCAAGTCAGCGGCACTGCTATGGGTACCCGCATGGCCCCACAGTTTGCCAACATTTTTATGGCTAACTTAGAACAACGCTTCCTCAGCTCTCATCCCCTAATGCCCCTACTCTACTTGCGCTACACTGAGGACATCATCACCATCTGGACCCATGGAAAAGAAGCCCTTGAGGAATTCCACCATAATTTCAACAATTTCCATCCCACCATCAACCTCAGCCTGGACCAGTCCACACAAGAGATCCACTTCCTGGACACTACAGTGCAAATAAGTGATGGCCACATAACCACCACCCTATACTGGAAACCTACTGACTGCTATACTTACCTACATGCCAGCTTCCATCCAGGACACATCACAGGATCCACTGTCTACAGCCAAGCCCTAAAATACAACCAAATTTGCTCCAATCCCTCAGACAGAGGCAAACACCTATAAGATCTTTATCAAGCATTCTTAAAACTACAATACCTACCTGGGGAAGTGAGGAAACAGATTGACAGAGAGAGATGGGTACCCAGAAATCACCTACTACAGGACAGGCCCAACAAGGAAAAACAACAGAACACCACTGGCCATCACGTACAGCCCACAGCTAAAACCTCTCCAGCACATTATCAATGATCTACAACCTATCCTGGAAAACGATCCCTCACTCTTCCAGACCTTGGGAGGCAGGCCAGTCCTTGCTTACAGACAGCCCCCCAACCTGAAGCAAATACTCACCAGCAACTACACACCACACCACAGAAACACTAACACAGGAACCAATCCCTGTAGCAAACCTCATTGCTTTCTCTGTCCTCATATCTCCCCTAGTGACACCATCATAGGACCCAACCACACCAGCATTCACCTGCACATCTACTAATGTGATATATGCCACCATGTACCAACAATGCCCCTCTGCCATGTACATTGGCCAAACCGGACAGTCCCTACGTAAAAGAATAAACAGACACACATCGGACATCAGGAATGGTAACATACAAAAGCCAGTAGGAGAACACTTCAATCTTCCTGGACATTCTATAACAGATTTAAAAGTAGCTATACTTGAACAAAAAAACTTCAGAAACAGACTTCAAAGAGAAACAGCAGAACTAAAATTCATTTGCAAATTTAACACCATTAATTTGGGTCTGAATAGGGACTGGGAGTGGCTGGCTCATTACAAAAGCAGCTTTGCCTCTCCTGGAATTGACCTCTCTTCATCTATTATTGGGAGTGGACTACATCCACCCTGATTGAATTGGCCCAGTCAACACTGGTTCTCCACTTGTGAGGTAACTCCCTTCTCTTCATGTGTCAGTATAATAATGCCTTCATCTGTAATTTTCACTCCATACATCCGATGAAGTGGGTTATAGCCCACAAAAGCTTATGCCCTAATAAATCGGTTAGTCTTTAAGGTGCCACTGGACTCCTTCTAGTTTTGGTAGATATGGGAGTTTGCCATATAATTTGCTCCTCAGTTCATTTCATATGTATGGATTTTCACCTGTAATGATGTCAGAGTAATACTGTTGATTCAAAGAAAAAGACAATAGTGAAAAACAAAAATAAAACAGTGACAGAATGCACAGAACTACAGTATTCAAAGCGGATGAAAGCTACATCTGACAGATAGTCTAGGCAAAGGCACACTCCATCCCAGGGAGAAAGGGCAAGTGCAGGCTGCTAAGTAAGGTCAACATTGACTTTGAGGTTACACCCAGAGGTGGGAATAAATCCTTAGAATAAGGAGTAAGTGCCTGAAGAGCCTGGAAGAGGTGGCACCACAACGGGTAAATTCAGCCAGAGCAACAGTTTTAGGCTGGATAGTGCTGAACAATATTTAGTTCCATTTTTAGTTCTTGCATAGTACATTGAGAGTATATTTTGCTACAGTACCTTGCAAGTGAATATAAGGCTCAAGTACAGCGCCTCTAATTTAGAGGAAAAATCTCGTTACGGGGTGTAAACTAAATACAATCTAAACTGATGTGAAGTTAGCAGAGTTTTAAATTTGCTTAATATTATTTTAAAACAAGTTAACAAGCATTACTTGTTCATCTTAATACACACATGCTTTAAGTGAAACAAAGATCTTTGCCAGAGGGGGCCAAGACCACAAATCCAGTATCTAGTTTTGGCAGTACTTGGGTTGTGGACAGACCTTGTAGAAGAGATCATGAATTATTCCCCCCGCCCCCAATTTGATCTGTGCATGTACTGTGGAGGATAAGAAGCCTAAATTTTGATCAAAAATGATTTTATTAATAAAAAATATAATTTATTATGGTAATTTTAGTTTATTACAAACTTGTTTAAGTATCTCCTAAAATTTGGTAAAAACAGTTACTTTCATACACATATTACTTGGAGAATAATAGCTCAGATGCTTGTTTTTGGTTGCTTATTTTATTTTATTAAATGAGATATTCAAGCTAATTAAAGGAACTCCTAGGAAACTTTGCTTTCTGTCAACTGTTTTCTAAGATAAACTAAGATAGGACTCACAACTGATTTGTGGAATAATATACTGTGGTCTTAAATTTACCTAGAGAAGGATGTCCCCACCAGGGCAGACCCACTCAAAGGTGTAATCTCTGTTGAAAATTCTCTACAGAGACACATACAGGAGAAATTGTAACTCTTCTGGACCCACTGTTTACTGCTTACTTGTGTTTTGGTTTTATTCCTTTCTTTATTAAAATACTCACTTATTAATTGTGAGCATTTTACTTGTCTTAGTCATGGTATCCCATAAGACATGGTAAGACCTCCAGGAGATTAAAACAGTTGGGGCCACATCCCTTAACTGGCATCAATAGAGGCAATTAAGATTTGGCCCACTATTTCTCCTTTTTCCAGACTACAGATTTTTAGTAATTTTGGGGATCAAATTACTTGGTGTTCAGCATTTCTGAAAAACAAAACACCTCTTTCACCTCTACAGTATGCATAAATATACATATTACAAGGACTTTACCACCATTTTGTAAGGCCTTGTTCCGTAACAAGGACATTTTTAGTGAGATTCTGAGCCAAAACCTACCTTTATATATGGTGGTCTATATAATCAGATTTTAATTTTTTAGTAGCAATATGGATTTTCTATGCTTGTACAGAGGTTTACAATGGATTACATTTTACACTGCATTCTAGGCTCATATCTGGAAGCCCATTTTACACAATTGTGACAATATACCTTATTTTATGGTATTCTCCTTCCCTTTTCACACAGTACTACAATTTATCAAGAAAGAGAAACCTATTTTTGTTTATGGGTACTGAACACCTTCAGCTAAAATCAGATAGAAATACTCAATTTCATTTTTCTCTTATTCATTATGCCCTATAAGTAGCCATATTTTCTGCCTGAAGTAATAAAAGATTCCATTCTAATAAAAATCAAAGAGACTGCCTACCCAGCTGTTATTGCCTTAAGATGTGGGAAAGCTTTACCATGTTGCCTCACTAATTTTTAACAGAAAGCAAAAAAAAAAAAAAGTGTTACCAGTTATTCCACTAACATTTTCAGTTCCTGGGAAGCTGATTTTTGGATTTAAACACAGACTATTAAAGAGTTACTGCATTCTACAACTAAAATATTTCCTTCAAAAAAGTCAACAATAAATTAACTACAGCGTTACTTTCAAAGAAGAAAACTTACATTCTTTTATTTATTTTTAGATTTCAAGAGAGAATTCTAAAGACAGACTGGCTTATGGGATATTTCTCCCTAGCAGACAGGATTGAACTTTCCATCTTGGCTACCTATCAGTTATAAAGTGTTTTTGCAAAAGGGATACTACACCATTTGAGACATTTTATTTTCTATTCACTTGCTAAATTCATCTGTAAAGTATCTCTGATGTTCTAGAATTATAACACACTTCAAGTTCCCTTTCAGTTTTACTCCCTTCATCAAAACAGGCTACCACAGTCATCTTTTGAAATCCATTCTCTACTTCTTGCCTATATCAGTATGTCACAAGACATAAAACATGTAAAAAAGAGGTGGGAGGCATGTTACCTTCATGTTTTTCCAGTGCTTGTACAACATTAGGTAGTTGGTTAATAGCTTGATACATTCGGTAACAGTCCTGCAGGGTTGCTACTTGTCTTTGAAATTTCTTGGCTAGCCGGTTGAGATCTGGAAAACGACGTAGAAGCTCTTCTTGAAGGCACTGCCGTAGCTCTGTGTCTACCACAAAGGCCTCAACCAAATTTAACCTACATAAAAGATCAAAAGAAGAATTATTGCAAATTGGCAAGCCTTTGTTATTAGTAGGTCATAATGGAAAGCTTTACTGAACTGCAAAAATGGAAGTGTAGAAGGCTCTTTTAGTTTAGTTACACCCAATACCAACACTCGTTTGGTGGCAGAGCTAGTGAAATTATGACATTACATAAGACAAGGCTAAGCAAGTGAGTTTTTTTTTTTTAGTCCAAACTGCTTAAAAAAAAAAGTACAATTCAATATCTAGTAAATGTTTGAAAGAGGGGATCTCTTTAGAAGTTCAAACACCCCTGAACATAACAACAGTTTTTCATGTACATAAAAGGTCTTTACAACGAGGAGGAAAAAAAATTGTTCTCATTTAACCTCTGAGGATAGGACAATCAGCAATGGGCTTAAATTGTAGTAACGGCGGTTTAGGTTGGACATCAGGAAAAACTTCCTGTCAGGGTGGTTAAGCAGTAGAATACATCCCCCAATGAGGTTGTAGAATCTCCATCATTGGATCTTTTTAAGAGCAGGTTAGACAAACACCTGTCAGGGATGGCCTAGATAATACTTAGTCCTGCCATGAGGGCAGTGGACTGGACTAGATGACCTCTCATGGTCCCTTCCAGTCCTATGATTCCCCCTCTGCAATAAAGGTGAGAAAGCTCACAATACACCTGAGATCAACCCTTACTCCCACAAAAACACAAAAGTAGTCCTCCAGCAAAATTAGGGAAGACAAGACTTGTCATTCCTAATATTTCTAATAAGCAGGGGAAAAGCCACTTTGAACACAAAACAAAACTTAAGCCTTCTTTATAAAACAAAGCAGTAAAACAAAGATACAATCCCCTTTTTGGGAAATCCTTTTCAGTTAAATTAAAATGGAGAGCAACTGGAAGATCATTACTAACTTCACCTTTGTAGTTTAATTACTCAACCAACATTATTTACTTTCCCAAATTACTGTCAGTGTTTCAAAGATTTTACAGAACCTTAATCCGCAAAAGAGCTGTTTTTTTGGCGATTTAATTTCATAATAGCTTAACTGCATTCATATAAAAAGAATTTTAGTCTGACACACACTTTAACCATGTAAAGTTAGCATGTCCACTGACAAGTCTGTTATTGTCACAGTAGTCTTCATTTAAAGTGTGACCAATTAACATGTACTCATACAAGACCGTTGGAAAATCAGCAAGGTAACTAAGTGTTTTCCATCCTCTTATCAGCACAATATCTGGGAACAAGAAAATGAAATTCCAAAAACCAGGTCCTCCTCCTTTTCCCCCCCCCTTTTTGAAATTTTGTAAAAATATGTAAAATATTCTTAATGGGCTGTAAAGCCACAGTAGAGATTCTGCCATCTTCATGACAAGTGATGGAGTACTGAGTTATATTTTTCTACACAAGGTAATATAGTATCTATGAGTTCCTTTTGAGAATAGTTTTTACTGTAGTACTTGTCACTCCCCGTTGACATCTTTCCATACTTTGTATATTCTTGCATTTGCAATGAAAAAAAAAAACTATTTTTCCTCCCTGCACACTGAACTATTCATTGGTCACATTAATAACGTTAGGTATAATTCTTTGCTCTAATATGTTTGAGCTATGTAACGTTTTATTTATAATTACGTAAGAAGAGAGAGTTGAACTACTTATAGGGACCCGCTATTGAAACATAACACAGCTGTCCTAGCTTCTTGTTAAATCATATCAACATGTAAGTGGCCAGTGACTAGACTTCAGCATTAGTCCTGCTTTAGGAGGCACGTGGGAGGAGAAAGGAACAGAACATTCACTGTATTACTGCTATTGTTTTGCAGGCTTGCAACAGACTATAATGGTTTGAATTACAGATTAATAGATATCTTTGCAGCTAGCAGTATTAGAAACGTCACTTTCTTAAATAAAGCTTAGCTTCTCGAGCAAGAGCTGCTGGAAAACCCAAGGTCCAGGGAATATAGATGTTTACTAGGGCTGTCGATTAATCGCAGTTAACTCACGCGATTAACTCAAAAAATTAATCATGATTAATCACACTGTTAAACAATAGAATACCAATTGAAATGTATTAAATATTTTTGGATGTTTTTCTACATTTTCAAATGTATCAATTTCAATTGTACACTTTGTATTCTGTGTTGTAGGGCCCACTTTATATTTTTTATTACAAATATTTGCACTGTAAAAATGATAAAAGAAATAAGATTTTTCAATTCGCCTCATACAAGTACTGTAGTGGAATCTCTCTGTCATGAAAGTGTAACTTACAAATATAGGGGTTTTTTTGTTACATAACTGCACTCAAAAACAAAACAATGTAAAACTTTAGAGCCTACAACTCCACTCAGTCCTACTTCTTGTTCAACCAATCGCTAAGAGAAACACATTTGTTTATATTTACCGGAGATAATGCTGCCCACTTAATTACAATGTCATCTGAAAGTGAGAACAGGCATTCGCATGGCACTATTGTAGCTGGCGTTGCAAGATATTTATGTCCCAGATGAGCTAAAGATTCCTAAGTTTCACGTGCTTCAGCCATCGTTCCAGAGGTCATGCTTCCATGTGGAAGACACACGTTAAAAAAATAATGTGTTAATTAAATTTGTGATTGAACCCCTTGGGGAGAACTGTGTGTGTCCTGCTCTGTTTTACCTGCATTCTGCCATATATTTCATGTTATAGCAGTCTCGGATGATGACGCAGCACATGTTGTTAGTTTTAAGAACACTTTCGCTACAAATTTGACAAAATGCAAAGAAGATATCAATGTGAGATTTCTAAACATAGCTACAGTACTTGACCCAGGATTTAAGAATTTGAAGTGCCATCCAAAATCCAAGAGGGACGAGGTATGGAGCATGCTTTCACAAGTCTTAGGGTATGTCTATACTACCCGCCGGATCAGTGGGCAGCGACTGATCCAGCAGGGGTCGATTTATAGCATCTAGTCTAGACACGATAAATCGACCCCCGAGCGCTGTCCTGTCAACTCCGCCTGCTCCTCTCGTGGCAGTGGAGTACTGGAGTCAACAGGAGAGCGGCAGCAGTCGACTCACCGCAGTGAAGACGCTGCAGTGAGTAGGTCTAAGTATGTAGACTTCAGCTACGTTATTCACATAGCTGAAGTTGCGTAACTTAGATCGATCCCCCCAGTGTAGACCAGGGCTATGAAGAGCAACACCCCGATGCAGAAACTACAGAATCCAAACCACCAAAAAAGAAAATCAGCCTTCTGCTGGTGGCATCTGACTCAGATGATGAAAATGAACATGTGTCAGTTCACACTGCTTTGGATTGTTATTGAGCAGAACCCATCATCAGCATGGATGCATGTCCTCTGGAATGGTGGTTGAAGCATGAAGGGACATATGAATCTTTAGCGCATTTAGCATGTAAATATCTTGTGATGCCAGCTACAGTGTCATGCGAACACCTGTTCTCGCTTTCAGGTCACACTGTAAAGAAGAAGCAGGCAGCATTATCTCTGAGTGATTGGCTGAACAAGAAGTAGGACTGACTGGACTTGTAGGCTCTAAAGTTTTACATTGTTTTATTGAATGCAGGGTATTTTTGTACATAATTCTACATTTGTAAGTTCAGCTTTCATGATAAAGAGATTGCACTACAGTATTTGTATTAGGTGAACTGAAAAATACAATTTGTTTTTACAGTGCAAATATGTCATCAACAATAAATATAAAGTGAGGACTGTACACTTTGTATTCTGTGTGGTAACTGAAATCAATATATTTGATAATGTAGAAAACATCCAAAAATATGTAAATAAATGGTATTCTATCATTGCTTAACAGCGTGATTAATCATGCAATTAATTGTGATTAACTTTTTTAATCGCATGATTAATATTTATCACTTGACATCGCTAATTTTTATATTTGAAAATTTCAATGCAGATATTTGTGTGCTGTACGAAGCGTTCTATTCAGAGTGTTCCTATAAAGCCAAAGTGTTATACTGAACAAAATCAACGAGCCATTTTAAGGAATACATCTTAACCTTCATTTCTATTTCTTGACTCAACTATTACTCTTCATAAATTTGTAATGACTTAAGATCTAGGCCACTAGATTTTAAATGAGGACAAGCTCTTAGATATCCTGGAAAGTGGTGTGTCGGGGGAAGTTCGTTCACGTTTTTTATTTAGAAATAAACCAGTTAATTACATGGTCATTTCCCCCCCCCCCACCCAGGTTAAAAACTGAAGCACATAGCCAGAGACAGTGGGAAGTAGACTGGGAGCCATTAAGGTCTCTCTGTTAAATCTGTCACTACTCTAAGAATTAACCTGACTTGCTATAACAGGGTAGGGCAAACTTTTTGGCCTGCATCGGGTTTCAAAAATTGTATGGAGGACCAGTTAGGGGAGGGGGGTGTGGGCCAGCCCTCCTCCTTATCCCCCCCTCGCTTCTCACCCCCTGACAGCCCCCCCAGGGACTCCTGCCCCATCCAGCCCCCCCTGTTCCCTGACAGGCGGCCCTCCCCCAACCAGGGACCCCTGCCCCATCCAACTACCCCTTCTCTCTGTCCCCTGACCGCCCCTGGAACCTCTGTCGCGACTCCCCGCCCCCCCCCCCGCCCCATCCAATCCCTCCTCTCATTCCTGACTGCCCCCCTGGGACTCCTGCACCCATTCTGCCCCCCCTTCTCCCTGTCCCCTGACTGCCCCCCGGGACTCCGGCCCCTGACTGCCCACCACCACCCATTCTGCCCCCCCTCCTTCCTGACTGACCCCCCAGGGACCCCTGCCCCCATGCAACCCCCCTAATCCCCACCCTCTGACTGCCCCAAACCCTGTCCATTCCCTGACCACCACCCCCCGAACTCCCATGACCTTTATCTAACCTGCCCTGCTCCCTTACCGTGCAGCACAGAGCACTGGATCAGGCTGGGCTCTGCAGCCCCGCTGCGCCGCCCAGAGCATTGCACCGGCGGTGCAGTGAGTGAGGCTGCGAGGGAGGGGCCGGGGGCTCAG